CAGAAACAGCGAAGTTCTATGGTCTTTATTTTTTGAAATATTTTGATATCAGAGAGATTTTATTTTTTATATATTTTTTTAAGTAGCCTGGTTTGGAGGAGACAATAATAGTTAGTAGATAATACTCTTGCTTTGGATCCAATTTGGAGTTATTAAAACTAAACTAAATGAAAATCAAAATATAATATTAACATTGCTACTTTAAGCGAGCGAAGGCGAGAACGGAAGGTGCAATCTTTTACGTTTATAACGGATTTTAGTTTTATTTAGTTTTAATGTTGTTTGAAAATTGCAGTATTTTTATCTTTCCATGGTCCCTAGTTCATTTTACGGAAAAAATATAATGTTCATTAGAAGAATGGACTGGATTTCTTAAAGAAATTTTTTGTGCTGGAAAAAACTTTTGATTATTATTTTTTGAACGTTGTTGTCATAAGTCTACTAAATAAGTAATAACCTTAAAATTGTTAAGTTAACTTATGCATAAAACTAATGGATTTTTTAATTTACTAAATTTACTGAAGGGGGTTCTGGGTAATAAAAAATCGTAAAAATACAAGGTCTAGAGGTAAATATAAAATAAACCTTAAAAAGCTGCTGTGATTGAAGGAAGATAATCATAAATAGGGACGCCTCGGCTACTTTTCCAGCAATATACATTGCCAGACAATATTTACTATACATTTAAGTAAAATCTGTTAAATGTGGTGAGTTACAATTACAAAAAATTAATTTCTTTTTAAAGAGTTTACGCCCAATATCTTTCCACTGATAAGCATATTTTATCTTTACAGTAAAAAAAAAATACAAATGATGGAATAAAACATAATAAGTCGGACATGATGGGTTTTAGATTGATGTGATTTATGGCTAATCTGTTTTTAAAGTTAGACCATTTATTCCAAGGTTAAACTTCCTCTGTATTTTAATAAAATTTAAAAAGCAACTGCTCGCTATTACCTATCCTTTTCAGGTTCACAGCATGAGGCATTCTGTATGGTTAAAAGCATAATAATTGTTAATATAAAAATAAGAGAACAAATGTCCGATAAAGGATATTTGAAAGGCTTTTAAGGGAAATAATGTCGTCTGGGGCATTCATAAAATAAATCACTAGATTACTTTAATTTTTCTTTATATGTCTCAAGCAAATAGATTATTTGATAAGAAATTCAAAATAATTTAGTTTTACATAGCCAAAAGATTTAGGAATGTGTTTCTGATTATAGCAAGTCTTAAGGTATGTCACTCGTGAAATTTGTTAAATCAAGGATTTTTTGAGAAGTATATTTTGGATAAATAGTCATAAAGTGTGACTTAAAATCGCTGAGAAAACTGGGGGTCAGTTTGCATCTTACTGATCTACAGTACAATTAAGTTGACCTTTTTGTACTTAAATTTTGACTCTTTTGTTAATTACTTTAACCTTTATTATATTTTATCAGATGTAACTATGGCAATAAATATGATTTTATTTTACGTAAAGTATTTTGAATAATACTTATCATTGAACAAATCTTGCAAATTAATGCGCGTAAATTATTATGTGACATTTTTGCAATAAAAAGTAACATATTTGGGGCATTAAAAAACTAAATAGGCAATAAAACATTTTCTTAAATCAAGCTTCTTACGACTTAAGTGCTGATCAGTCACAAGTATCGAGTACATTAAAATAATGAAAGAAAAAGTTGGGGTCAGTGATTTTAATTTTGAAATATTGGTCAAAATGCATGATTTTCGGGCGAAAAATGGTGTAAATTTTATCTTGACTTCTTTGACATATCTTCATTTTTTTGGCAAAGTTTGTTGGAGGAAGGTGTAAAACTTGTTCTAAAAATATAAATTAAGGGACTCCGATTCTCAGCCAGGAAGGACAACTCTTTAATTTATAATTTAATTCAAAAAGTCTCAAAATGAAGCCTGAAAATTAAATCTTTTCATGCAACAATTTTCATTATATATCTCTCAATGTGTTTCAAGGTTCTGTGAAGTTCTCAGAAAGTTCTAATAAAAAGTCGAAATTTTTACCCCGTAATAGCAATTTAAAACTACATATATCAAGAAATTGATGTTCATTTTAATCAGCCCAAAGATACCAATGTTTATTAACATGATATGAAATTATAAGTGTTTTATTGTGCTTTGCAGTGACAGGAGAATCTTTATACACTTTGCATTATAAAATGATCGGAGTATATAAAAGAAATTTAAGTACACTATATGTATAAAACTTGTGGAATTTCTTCAAAAGCCTGGATACCTATGATTTTTATTTTTAAAATGTGCTAATTGATCAAATTTGAATTAGAAAATGCATAGCAGGTGTTTTTATTGGCAATTCCTGAAAATATATTTGAGATTTACTGATTTTCTCTATATAGTATGATTAACTTGAAAGATGAAGTTTGAAGAATAACTGTGGGTAAAAACATGTTACTTTGTAAATTCAGAGACATTTTTGTGAGCATTTTCAAATAGTCAATGCTTGGTTTCTTTAACCTGAGGATCGGAGTACCTTAAGACCTATATTAAATATTCCTAGCAATACCATAATGGAAAATACTCTCTGAGTAAAAGTATGTGAGGCTAAAGTTCCAAGATATCAAATTTAATAAATGTGCAGATTTGCAGAATTCTCTGCTAAATATCCTTCCACCACAAGGAACAGTCCCTCATAAATCTGGCTTCTTTGAAGCTTTTTGAGCATTTTTTTTCGTTGAATGTTAAAACATTAACATTGTTGAAATTAAATATGCTATAAAAATTGAATTTTAATAAATAGTTTTGAAGTAAGAGGTTCTGAGTGAACTTTTCTAAAAAGCTGACGAGTGACATACCTTAAATGAGACGCTGATATTCTTGTTTAACCACGTTTTAGAAACTGAACATAAGTAGAACAAGCTTTTCCATATTGAATCAACTGAGAGATATAAACTCCGTATACAGGTGATGAAGGTATATTGCTGCATGAGTAAGGGGAGGTTGACGATAGAAAAGTTAAAGTCATCACTTTTATCAAATTTGTCAAATTTGAAAAACAAGTTGTACTTTTTACTCCGGAAAACACATAGTGAAAGCTTGCCCAGCTGAGATTTTTATAATAAATTGTTTCTGAGACTAGTGTATGAAATTTATCTATTTGGTAATTGGGCAACCTTGTGTTCTGTCTTTTCTGAAACTTTTATTGCTAATTTGAATGAAAATGAGAAAATTTGGAAAATTATTCATTTTTTCACCTTCCTGTGACCTTTTTGTACTCCATAATTAAGAATACTATACAATTAATCACCCTTTATGAGGTCAACATGGTGAAATGGTGACCCGAGACCTGACCCACGAGGTGACCTGACCTGACCGAGTGGGTCAGGTCAAGGGGCATCATTTCACCATGATGACCTCACAAAGGGCGATCAATTGTTTTATTATACAGACAATAATAATTTGAACATATATGTAACATTTTATTTCAACAGAATAATACATATTCTGAAATATCAATTTCAGCAACAATAACTTTGAATTTGAATGTTCAATTGAAAAGTGAAAACACATCTTACAACCATTAACGATTTGAAAATGTCCAATAAGGAACTTTTAATTACATTATCTTTACTTTTGTTGTTCCTTTCCTATGTAATAGTGAATATGCACTTGTCCAACATTTCTAAATACTGAACCACAAGAGTTTTGAGGCATTTTGTCAACGTTAACATTCTCCTTTTCTTCTGGAACAAACAAATCTGAACTATTTCCATCAACTAGGACTTCAGAAAGCAATTTTTCGGTACTGACAGTCTCAAATTCACAGTTATTTAATTCAAGAGCTGAGTTTCTGAAGTATCTGGGTTTTCTAGCCCTAGCTTTGGTGATGGGTGAACCACAGATGATAAAACATCAAACATTTCTTGTTTTTTGGATTCACTAACACATCTTGAATAGCTTTTATCGAAGTTTCCGACTTATGTACACTCACCTCACATACATGATATGTCTAGTTTCTATCCCACGCTGATCCAAACTAGTAATACACGTGGCACGTATGCATTGGTTAGTATACAGAGTCGAGAGTTTAACTTTCATAGATATTGTTTTCATAAAATTTCCCAATGTGTTATGACCTACTGGAGAATTACCGCACCAAACAGCATCCGAATCCTTGATATGGCGCTTCAGTCTCTGCCAAAAACTTTCATAATTTGGATTCAGCTTTCTGAGGTATTTCTCCAGACTAGACACAGGGCACTTCTCATCACCTACATGAACATATTAATATGAAAAATTGTAAATCAGTTGAATTCATGAAAATTATGTCACTGAGACAAATATATGATCTAAAATTAGTTAATACTGAAGTTACATGAATTTTATTTTACTTGATTGTATTTCAAGAAGTTTATTATCTGGTATTTCATATATCCTTGCTGAAGACGCATCATAGTCATTAACGTCACTTCCTCTGTGATTTTTGGTTTCATACTGAGCAACATTTAGAAAATATCTCCTTCCTTGGCCATCTGTCCTCAAAAGAAAACCGGTTTTCTTCATACTTCTCAAATTTTCTCTTCCTCTTCTACATGTGTAGAACATCACATCGAGAAAAACTTTATACGGCAATCCCTGCGGACTGTTTCCGGTTACTAAACAATGTTGCCATGTCAGCATCGCTGATAACTTCCTTGTGCTGAGTGGTTCCCTTTCCAGTTCGTTTGATGTTTGTCAAAACTGCCTAGAACATTTCGTTTGATAGACGAAAATCTGGGTCATTTATAATGTCATAGTTAATTTTTTGGAAAAATCTCCGCAAACCAAACCTGAATCTGATCATGGAAGATCTGCTATACAATTCACCATCTTTTCTTCTGAGTTCAGCGTAAAAGTTAATCAGAATTTCAACAATTTCACCTTTTGTTTTTTTCAGTATGCTGTCCACTATCAGTCCCTTTTCAGTGTAGTATGTAATTAACACTTGTTTCGATGAATCTATACATTGTTAAAGTATAAGTCACATTATCCAGCGATGGGGTTTACGATGAGTAACCGATGTGTTTTTTGATGAAAATGGCGTAGTCGCCGGCCGGACACCACTAGTGATCGGACGGAGACTGAGGCCTGTTTGCGAATCGGTGAGGTCATCGGTGGGAAATAATTCGTAGTTAAAATTCAGCGATGTCTTCAGCGATGCCTCACATCGCTCCTCATCGGCAACCCATCATTAACACATCTTTCAAGTATCGGCCGATGTATGGCCGAGCATCGTCCAGTATCCGTCGAATCGGAGGTGAGTGGTGGGCAACATACATCGGCCGATCATCGGTTGATGTTCGACCGAACATTGGCCAATAGTCGACCGATGTACGAACGATGTTCACCAATGTATGAATGATACAATATACATCGGCCGATGACCGCTCGGACATCGGTCTATGATTAGAGATGCATCGCTGGGTATATATAAACGCGCCATTTTTTGCATGTTCAATTTCATTCGACAGACAACATAATGCCAAGACCGCAGAAAGACAGCAAGGAAACACCAGAGGGGAGTGACATGGGAAAGGCCAGAGGCAAGGGCAAGGTGAGTGTAAAGGGAAAGGTGAGTGACAAGGGAAAAATGAGTGACAAGGGCAAGATGAATGACAAGGACAAGATGAGTGGCAAGGGCAAGATGAGTGGCAAGGGCAAGGACAAGGCGCTGAAGAAGCCAAGCAAAGCATCGACCTGGACCTCACCCCGCAAGAGACAGCAACAGGATCCAGAGATCACAGACACTGACCACACCATCGAACATGATGAAGATTTCGATGACAACGCCTCGGAAGCCTCCACTATCTCATCCATCACAGGTTCCAAGAAGAAACAGCGTGTATGGATGTCACAAGAAGAAATATCCATGGACACCATGAAGAAGATAGCCAGCTGGTTCGAGGGCATGCCCATGTTCTATGACCTGGCCGACCAAAACTACAAAAACACTCAATTACGAGACATGAAGCTGATGGAATTCGGCAGGGAAATAGGCCTATCTCGTGAGCCCTTTATATGATATCTCTTGTATGAAAATTGTGAATAACTGTAAAAAAAAATTTGAATAAATTCTCAATTACAAATGATTCTTTTATATGTCCTAATGATGTTTTTTTTTCCTTTTTGCGTTTTAGCTGCGGCCATCAAGCGCCATTTTATTTCCATGAGGACTGACCACCACAAGCTGATGAAAGATACCAAGAAAAAAAGTGGATCAGGTGGCGGAAAGAGGATGACCCCTCTGCAGAGTTTCAAGTTGGCAGCGTACGCATTTCTCGATCCCTACCATAAGCCTCGGATAAAGTCAGAGACATGCGGAAAGGTAAGTAAATGCAGTTGAATTTTTCGAGTTGTTATATTATTATCCACTCATATTGTATTCTTGCACTACAGTAAAATTCTTAAACATTCTTCTTATGCATTCTTCTCCATTCCTTTAATTACAGTATCTCTTGTGCAACAATTGCGAATAATTTAAATAATGCAATTGTTTTCCATTCTTACTTTATGTATTCTTACCTAATTCATCATTGCACAGATCTCAAATGATATTTTTTGCTTGCTTAAGCTTCAAGTCGGAGGCGAGGATGATGGTGACGAGTCGCAGTCGGAAGACGACATGTCAGTGGCAAATGAGCAGGGCCCCATGACATCGGCAGTGGCGACGGCAGAGACGAAGAAGCCATCCGCGTCCAAGTCGTCCAAGAAGGGAGTTTCGGAAATCTTGGTGCAATATTTAGAGAAAAGTGCCAAGGAGACCAAGGAGGCTGAACAGAAGGTAAATGCCTGACTATACACTTCTAACCTTGAGCATTGTCTAATACTTACTTACTTTACAATACGCAAATTTGTATTTTTTGTATTTACAATTAAATGCTCTGTCATATGTTCTGTTGCACAGCTGCAGGCTTTTCAGACTACAACTGCAGGCCAGAAGATGGAGCGGACTGCTTGGGCAGAGTGGCTGGTATCCGTTCAGAGTGCGATACCCGAGGCGCGTTACCGAGACTATCAGGCTGACTCGTTCAACCTGGCCATGCGGTACATCAGGGACGCCCAGCAGCCGCAGTCGCAGTTACAGTCACAGCCACAACAGCAACAATTCCAGGCCCTCCAGCCGACGCCACATTGTCTGCCCTTCACCGCATACCCCGTGCGTGCGCATCAGCATCAGTTTGCACAACTACAGGTATGTTTTTCTTTGCTTGTGACATTGTTTTGTACATTTCCTAGGAATTGTGTCGCAACATGAACGTTTTATGCACACAACCTGTATTCTTCTTTCGCACAACATTAATGTTTATCCGTTACTATGTTTCAGACGTCCTGTCCAGCCAGAACTCAGTCTGCCCAAACAACACCTGTCACCTCCTGGGACTTTGGAACAAATTTGTCTTTGGGAGTCTCACCCGGCAGCAGCACCTCCATGATCAACCAAGCATGGACCTTTTCTGATCAACTTTCTTCGCCACTTTGCACCCCACGTCAACGTATCAACACCTCTCTCGACACCTCCCCAGCACCTCTGCCTTCTGTAGAGACAGTGTCTCAGACTCTACGACAGTCCCGTGGGATACTATGCAGAGAGGATCCGACACCCGAAGAACAGTCTCCACATTCGGAAACATAGAAGAACCCCCAATTATACGTCAGTCGCAGACAAGCAATGCGATATCAAAGTCAGCTGCGTCAGAGACTGAAGGACTCTAAACTGTTCTATGGATTATATGTTACGCTGGACTTATATGTTTCTTGTAACACGTGTTTATTGCCTCAGATGTCTTATGCAAAAAAAAAAAAAATGTATGCAATGTAACAAAGCATCCAAGTTTTGAAAGAAATTTGTGTTTCTGTAATACGTAACAAAATTAAATGATTTGAAGGTCAAAGAAAAAAAACCCAAAATTGAAGTTGATAATAATCAGGTCAATTAAAAGAAATTAAACATTGAATTATTAGAATGTCATATAATACAGGTCAAAAAATTGAATAGTCATGTTATTATTGATAGATCACATAATATAAAGGTAAAATTATGGAAGAAAAAGATATCAAAATTAAAAGCTATGGTAAAAATAAATTTTTCTTGATACTCTAAGGATAAATAACACAAACAAACTTTTTTCAGAAATCGGCGTTATTTCTCATAGATTTACATTTGAATTGGTAACTTGAATAATGTTTTCTAAGTAGAGTGGGAGAATTATAAAAGATTTTGTCATAAAGTTAAAAAAAAGTGCAAAATTTTGTATGGAATTATATAGAAGGCAAAACCAAATCTCATATCAAAGCACCAAGGAAAACCTACGATTTCTTAATACTTTAGGGATTTATCATTTATGTCATTTCAAATCAATATCAATCAAAAAATACATATCAACCCGTGCATCCATTTTTTGTTTCTGGTAAGTACCCTTAAAATGACTCTTCTTGTTAAAAGACCATAAATAATAATCTCTGTTGTTTTTGACTAGTTTGATTGTTCATGTGTTATGTCGACCAAATTATTTTTTTCTGAGATCTTTACATTTAATCAATGTTTCTACACAAAAAATACAATCAAAATGTTTCATATTTATCAAAAACTTTTTTTTAATTTCAATGTAAAAAATCGTCATCAAGTCTTAAAAACTACATATTTATACTGAGAAGGCAAAGTATGGATTAGTGAATTGTCTATCATGAGCATGTATGTTATATAGTTAATTGTTTATGGCAAAATCCTGCCATGGGACACTTCCTGCAGGACTATTAAAGTAATTCTTCAGATAGGCTCTCTGTTCCTTGCCAGCTGCAGTGGTCCTTGGTCCGCGGCCTGCTGCTTGTACATCTTGCATGACAGCGTTGTCTCTCCAAGCCCCTGGGATGAGTTGACCCTCGTCGTCCTCGAGGTCGAGGTCAGCATTCTGGATCCTTGGGTAGCGTATCCTCATTATGTTGTGGAGGGTCAGACACGCCTTGGCAACACGCATAACGTTCGCCGGCCTCAGTCTCATTGTGGTCAGCAGGCATCTAAATCGATTGGCCAGTATCCCAAACGCGTTCTCTACAACGCGGCGGCCTCGGGAAAACCTGTAGTTGCAGATCCTCTCCTGCCTTGTAAGGTAGCGGTGCGAATATGGCTTCATCAGGTAAGTACGGAGAGGGAAAGCGTCATCCCCAACAATGAAGTATGGAGTGTCTTGGTCGTCGTTGGGCAGCGGGTCCGGCGGGGGGAGACCGAGAGTACCCATGCGTAGCGAAGGTTCCAGTCCCGAACGGTTGAAGACGCCCGCGTCTGAAGATGCACCATTGGCTCCCACATCGACCCAAAGGAACTTGTAGTCAGCGTCTACGAGCGCAAGTATCACCATAGAGAAAAACCCCTTGAAGTTGTAGTACAGCGTGCCGCTCTTCGCTGGCTTCTGAATGGCGATGTGCTTGCCATCCAAGGCCCCGCAGCAATGTGGGAAGTTCCACTTGTTCTTGAACTGTTGTGCCACTTCCCGCCATGCGTCTTCTGTCGATGGAGTCTCCCACACCTCAGCTTGGTACTCTTCGAAGATGACATTGCAGACCTCCGGTACAAACAGCGAGATTGTGTTGTGGGGGACTCGAAACGCAAAGACCAGGTCATGGTAACTGGCGCCAGTGGCCAGGAAGCGGAGCGTAATCGCCAACTTCAGACCAGGTTCTAAGGGAGCCCTCTGTCTGAAACACACAAAAGAGAAAACATTCCATTAAAACCTTGCAGAGCAAAATAGATTTGGAAAGTATGTGTTTGCAAAATTAAAAATAAATTTACCACAATGTCAGGTAAACTTACGTTGTCTTCTTGGCGATGCGCGGCCCAACTCGAGCAAGAAGTTCGTAGAACATCTCCGGCTCCATGCGGAGGAAAGACTTGAAGTCTAAGGAATTCTCCGCCTCAAGCTCCCTCATAAGAGTTTCGTATTGCCCAAACAGGCTTCTTCTCAAGATCCAGTCTCTAACCCACCACCTTCTTCTTCGTCTTGGGGCTCTTTGTCGCTCTCGTTCTGCTTCTTCTAACAACGCCGCCAAGATAATGTCATGTTGAAGACGGGCTTGTGCGAGTTGTTGCTGCAGCATGGCTATTCTCAGATGTCTTGGTGCCAACATCATTTTGGTTGATTGATCATACTAGGTAGTGTGGTCATTTTATACTACATGTCCGAAAGAATCTTTGGGAGTTCAAGTAACGTCGGTCGATCATCGCCCGGAGTTCCTACAATGTCTGTAAGATGAACGGCCAATAATCGTACGATGTCCGATTCACCGGCCGGTCACTGACCGACAATTTGAGGATGATCGGTGAAGACTGTGTGATGTCAGGACGATGTCCGGACGATGTCCGGCCGGTAACCAGTGCCATGTCGGCCAAAAAAATTTCCCTCTGGAGTCCCTCGCCGTACGATCGTCGACGGGGGTATGCACGGCATCCGTGAGATGCCTGTTCCTGTGACAGATGTGTTAAGGACTGCTTTGCCGATGAGAACCGATGTTGAGGCATCGCTCACATCACCGATTACCACCGATTACCACCGGTCTACGGCCACCGGCCGGGAAATGTGACCTAGGCATAAGTGTTGGAACTATCGCGGTTTTCTAGGATTGCTAGTTCCTCACTTGTCAGAGTTGCAAATCTCGATTCGCCAGCCATCGTTTTCGTAAACAGACGGCAAATCACGCATGGGAAATGACGTAGTACACAATTTTATAGTCAATATCTTATTTCTCATGAATAACTTACAGTTATAGTCTTTATCTAAAAACGGTACAATAAACATGGTAAACGTGAAAAAAAAACCGAAGCGGAAATACATGTTCCGCCATTTTTATTATGCACAGGTCAGGTTCAGAGGTCAATAATATTAATGACCGGTCAATCCCTCATTGCCTGACGTCACGGCATCAGGCTGTATAAGGATTGATATTTGCAAAATCCGAAACTAATAGATCATACCAATAGAGCTAGATTTTGTGCAAGCTGATTTACATTGGAATTCTTTACCTGCATTTTAAAAGAAACAGTTTTCAGAAAAAGAATGATGTTACTGATGCAAAATACTGTAGTGTTTACTTCCTTTAATCTTTATGCATGGAACAATTATTCCATGTGATTCACCGTTTCAACATGCCCGTGTATCCCTTTTTCTGCATTTCTTTACTACTGGATCAGTCCATTTATATTCTACGAAAGGGGTGAATCGCTCTTTTCGCGCCAAATGTCACAGTAAGCTATGGATTGTTCTATTGTGTGAATGGGTGTGCTTACTTCTATGTCACAGTAAGCTATGGATTGTTCTATTGTGTGAATGGGTGTGCTTACTTCTATGGAATAAAATAAAGTTTGTCCTTTTAACCTCCTTCTAATACTTCAGAAATTCTATCTAAATATTTTATCTCATTCTTTTAAGTAACATATCGTATATATCAGTATATGGATATGCAACACTAAAGAAATGATCTTTTTTTCTAATTTGTTTCTCGATACCGCAGTTTGTTTACTACATAAATGGACTAGTCAAAATATAAACAACGCAGTTCAACAAGTCATGGAACATTTGTATCCCCGTTTCAGATGCCCGCAATAGATAAGAAACCAGTAAAAAATCTTGGATTTTTCTTTCCACAAAGGCCTTAATATTGAATTTTCTTATTTCATTCTCAATATACTGTAAAAGCAGAAATTTTCTTAGGGATTAAATTCCGTTTATTTCGTTGTCAACAATTATCAACGAAATTAAATCCCACACGAAAATTTTTTATATGACTATATAATGAATAGGGTTATTTTCAAAACATCGAAATTAAATGCCCACGAAACTATTATAGAAGACAAAACAACGAAATTTTGTGCCCACGAAAAATTGTGATTCTAAAGTATGATAGTGGCACTACTACTGTTTACTTCAGTGGAATAAGGAAGGAATTAAGAAGGTAAATTCCATACTTATGTCGAAAGAGAGAGTTCTTTAAATGTTTTAAATGTCAATTTGGCATTCATGCTTTTCAGTTTCATCAAAGTTGCCCCAGACTTGAAAGCTTTATTGTTTTTATTCTTTGGTATCTTTTATTTCAAATGATGAAAAGGAAGGAAATGTTGTTAATTAAATATGTATTAAAATATCAATTTGAACTCTTCAGCATGCCTTTTTAAATAAATTCTGCTTTATATTAACACAAATAGGTCTACGAATAACAGGTTTATTTGGTGCCCAAGGGAATTCCTACTTGTTTAAAGACTAGCTTGATTTTGAAAACTTCATTAATATTGTTAGTTAGAAATTCAAGCTTCTTTTAAGAGACATTCTCTGTAACCACTTTAACTTCGTTGCCACGCATGGTCACCGATTTTGATGAAACTACACCCATTCTTAGTACTTGACACCAGTAACATATATCAAATAAATTTTCTTTGCTATGTGTCTCGGTTGCCATGGTAACAGCCGAAAAAAAAAATTACGTGCCACAGCTCCTATATAAAATATGTCATTACAGTGTAAAATAAGATTATTTTAATAACAAAATAAGTTTACAAATGACCAATGAAAAATTAAGTTAAGGTTTTTTCGTGTACTTTATCTATTTTTCTTTCTGTTGCTTAAATTCATGTTAATATTTTGGTTGATTGTTTTTATTTCATCTATTTTTTTCTGTCCAGTAGTTCGTTCCGTGGTCTTTTGTGTAAATTGTAATAGGTGCAAAGAGAGATAATTCCAACATGAAGCAAAGCAGATAAACAAAGAACCCCTTTATTGCTACAATGATGTGCATTATAAGTACATATATTTCCCCTTTATCCTATATTGAAATAAAAATACTACAACATTCGCATAAAAAAGCGTTTTTGCATGTTTCATTATAAGATTTATTTTTGGCATAACATGATTTTTCTTCTTTTCCAGACGAAAGATCACAATATATTTACATTCTTACACACAGAAAACTACAAGGCAGAACTTCTCAAAGCAGTATAGTCTTTGACAAAAAAAAAAAAAAAATCAAGTCAAATGTGCGTCATACGAAAATTGCAACGAAAATTACTCTTCTAATATACAAAATGGTAAACTTAATAGCTTCCTTTAATTAAACCATGAGATTTTATCTTTATTGCATAATACTTACTTTTAAGTTAATCTGATTTACATGCAGAAAGAGCTGTCTAGGTCCACTTTATCCATAAAAGGCCCTGTTCCTACGCTTACGCGGGTTATGTATTTTTTCTGCAACAGCTGCTCCGTTAATTCCAGTAATAACAAACAAAGAAAGGATTTTATTGTTTAAATATAAACCCACTATGCAGGGGATGAAAGTATATTGCTGCATAAGTAAGTGACGATGACGATTGAAAAGTTTAAATCATCACGTTTAACATAAAGATTGTTTATAGATTACCATTAAGTCTTTTTCTAGTAAAATATTCAAAATGAAACAGATGTGTCAGACTCTGTAGAATCTTTTATTTCAAGCTCACCGGGATATATCGTTTCGACATAGGAATTAAAATAAGTTAATTGACAATACGTCGTCGATATTGAAAAATGTCGAGTTGAAGACAATAGCAAGTGTTTTCTTTTCACGAATCGAATAAGATTTTGAACAAATCAATGCGTATAACAGAAAATTGACGACAGTAAAAAGGTTTAATTATGGATTATCTTGTAAAATAAAGTATTCATGCTAACCATAATACCGAGAAAAGGGGTGGTAGGTTATTTGATTCATTTATTCCTTAGCAAATAAATTATTCACAGTGTACTTATAAAAACAATGTTGTGTTGGGACTTAATTTCAAAATTTTGATATATACATGTATTACGAAGTTTTGTCAATTTACTATATTTTTTTTCACTAATAAGTGAAATCAATATGTCTAACTGAAAAGTAGCAATTCTTCCTAAAAATAAAAATACAACATTATAAGGTCAAATGTCATTTTTCCGTATTCTATCTTCATGCAATGGTATATTCTGAATGAAATTTGCTTATAAACCTTGTAGATTTCATAAAATCAAGTGATAGGTACATCCTACCTCAGACAGCGATGTGTGACTCAAGGGGAAGATACATTTTGAGTTAGAAAGGATACCTGGGATCTGAGCCTTATAAGTATTTAAAACATATTTATTATGTAATCCTTTGTGTCTAGCACATTATATAACAAAATAGATTTGGACATTTAAAACCTGTACATTAAGTCAGTTGTAACCGTACATTAAGTTGACAAAACTCTCAATTCTTAACTTAATCGACATCTTTTTGTCAACTTAATCTACAATTACAGGTAACTTAATGTACAGGTTTTAAATGTTGAAAACAATGAAATGCAAGATATTTTCTGAACTTAGTTAGTAATGAAATTGGGCAAATGAATTTTTAATTTAATACACACTCATGCATAAATATCAAACATTTGTATAAGAAATCATCTTTGGAAATGACAAATCCAATGCAAAAAAGACAAATATGTAATATCCTGATGCATAATAATTTTAGATCCACATCCACATTTCTTTATTAATAAACAAACTTCTCATCCTCTTCATAACATTCCCTTTGTAAATGAATACTGGACGTTGCAGATCCATTCCATGAATGTTAAAAAAATATATCCAACAGCAATTTTAATTTTAAAAGAGAAAGGCACATTTCCTGATGAACTGATAATCTCACTAAATGCTTTGCAGGTGGAATTGGTCATTTTTGGGACAGGGGACACAAATTTTCATCTTGTTCATACATTTTCCATTATCTGAATCCCCCATATGTCCATGAATTATTTCATTTACTCTCTGCTGCTGTTGTTGTTTTAATTGTAGGATCAAACTGTAATAGATTTGTGGTCCGTTTTCTCTGGTATTAGCTGTTCCTCAATATCTGTTTCATACAAGCGCGTCGCCTCTGTTGTTCTCAGAGAATGTTTCGTATTGTGTCCCTTAAATCCTGAGTGTTCACAAAGATTTGCGATATTTTTTGTCAAAAAGTGAACACTAACTTCAGAATCTGCACACCTACATGCCTCTGCTTGTGCCTACCTACTTTGGAGTATATATACCACCATTTGGCGTGTATTTTGGGGAAATATGTATTACTTTCTCCATCCTATGAGGACATCTTCAGTCATGAAGCTTAACATGGGAAGTAGTCAGAAATCAAGTGAGCTGTCATTTAAATTTACCTGGCACTGTTCATTAAGTTAAACAATACAGCTATTGTTTTAACCCGTCACTCTGTACAATCAAGTGTGTTACGTAATTATAGCAAATACATAACCATCACCTGGGACAGTTTATTAAGTTAACATTAGGGAAAATGTTTTAAATAGGAAAAAAGTCCTCAAACTGTCCATTCTTTGAGAGAAAAAACTATTCTCGGCCCTTCAGGCCTCGAACAGTTCTTTCTCTCACAGAATGGGCAGTTTTCGGACATTTTTTATGAAAATTCTGAGAACAAAATTTGAATAAATAAAACTTTCCCTATTTCGGTCAAGTCAGTCAGTGGCGTTTTCAGACCCATTTTCATGATTTTTCTGTTAAATCTAAGTGGTAATTAATGTAAATTTGGATTATCTCCCTT